CCTCTTTGCTCCTCTACACTTTCTATTCAAAGACAGTCAAAAAAACCAACAACCTCAGCGAATTCTGCAGATGCATCCCAGGATAAATGAGCCTTTAAGAATTGAAAGCTCTATAAACAACCAAGCCATTAGATGTTTACATTTCAAACACCGAGGTGTGTCTCCAAGGAGTTCAGGCTTAGCTTGTTCCAGTAATTTGGGAGCTGGAGACTGCTGTTATGATGAGTATTTCTGCCCCACTGAGGGTTGATGCTTTACTGATTTTAACCATAACAGATTGCAGTCGGTTCGTTTTTAGAGGCACTCAAGAAATGAAGCTCACTATTGTCAGAAAATAGTGTCCTCAGAAGATCCATGACTGGAAAGGGATTAAACTCCTCATAGATGCAGCCGCTGAAAAACGAGACAATTTCCCCCGGTTTCTGTATAAATGTCTCTGGTGTTCCCTTCTGTCTCCGTCTTATCTTCTTCTCCATACGTTACATTTTTTTCTCATCTCCTGGAATGTAAGTCTCCATATGCTATGTTGATATAATTTACTCTGTCTATTGGCACAAGAAATTCAAATATCTCTTTGTGTGTGACTTCTGTTCAGTTCTACTGTATTGATATAAGCCAAAATGAACTCTGCTCTCTTCTTTCACTTTCTCTTGTGACCTTGAGGCCATTTTGCCACTTCCTGCCATGGCTCATCAATCACAATGTCTCCTGACCCGTCTAGTGCACTAATCTCCATATAATCCCACCATTACCGTGAACGGCTCATCTTTTGTGTCTAGTGTGATTCCTGTTCATCCTCTCTTCCACTTTCCCATTCTCCCCAGCCTGCCCATATCATTATATTGTATTTCCCAAAATAAAATTTTAATAGAAATCCCCTTCTACCCACATTAAAACAGCACATTTATTTTTGAGCGACAGAAGGCTCACGTAGCCCCCAATACACCTTTGTCTCATTTGATTCAGCGCCTTCCACATTTGCCTGAGATTTACATTTCATCTGCAAAGACCCTGACTATATTAATAACTCCGGAGGTATTTGCCAGAGCTCAGAACGAATCGAGAATGAGTAGATGCTGCCATAAAATGATTGCATTTTCCCTCTTGTTGGGGTTGGAAATAGCTTAGTCTCTGAAATGATTTACCACAAAGGCAACAAGGACACATCTATGTCTTATTTGTGATAAGAACAGAAGTGGAATATGAAGTAATTTACAATTACAATGTTATTTTCAATTTTCATACATTAAGGAAGCACTATTTAGTTCTGCTTTTCTCTCAGCTGTGGAGAATAAGGATACTGAAAAAAGAGGTTTGAATTGACATAATTTAATCATTCATATCGTTCCACACAAATCAATTAGGTTACATTAACTGATTTTTTCCTTCTTGGTTTAGTTCAATAATTCTTTGTCAGAAAACATCATTTGTTCATGTACATTCAACATAATGGATAAAAAAAATTTTTTTGGACCAATTCAGCAGTCTCAACATGACTTTATGTTTGCCCACGACATGATCCATTTTCATTTGTGTCGCATTACTCAATTACATTACTAGGTACTACCAACTAACTATCAACCAACTAGAAATAGTATTTTACCATGTTAAATAATAGCACATAAAGTAATGAAACATTCAGGACCCCATCTTTATGGACCAGAAGTGGTTCTAAATCAAATCGTAACTGGACATTAAAGTCTTTACATTTTCCCCTCAAAATCAAGTTCCATGCAAAACATGCTGGGAACTATAATTGCCCTGCCCAGTTTCAATTAAAAGCAAAAATGAGCCAAAAAAGAAATGAGGTAAACTCCAATTTTACAAATTTAAGTAGAAAAAAAAAAGAAAAAAAAAAAGTGCTTGATTCGTTTTTTGAAGGTACATCCATATAGGACTACCTGGGAATCATTATACATAAAATAACTTTGTGACTAAATTTCATTAGAATTAGAATTAGAAGTAATGTCAACTCTTATGAAACTTTTAATAATCGGAAAAAGCTAATCTCTTAGCATCAAGCATAATAATCACTGGTTTCTCTATATTGTATTAGTCTAAAACGTAAACCGTGTTCTTCTGCATGCAGCCTCTCATACAGATGATGTTACATGGAGCTCAGGGAGCACCCCATCTTTATGGACCAGAAGTGGTTCTAAATCAAATCGTAACTGGACATTAAAGTCTTTACATTTTCCCCTCAAAATCAAGTTCCATGCAAAACATGCTGGGAACTATAATTGCCCTGCCCAGTTTCAATTAAAAGCAAAAATGAGCCAAAAAAGAAATGAGGTAAACTCCAATTTTACAAATTTAAGTAGAAAAAAAAAAAGAAAAAAAAAAAAAATGTCGTATGAACTCTGACAAGAATAACAATAACAGAGGCATGAATACCTGCTGTTATCCAACTTCTTTGCTTTGGAACTTCAAAATAAATGTAGTGCTAAGTGAAGGTGAGAGGAAACATTCCCCACAAGCTGTCTGCAGGAGTGCACACGTTTGCTTCTTTCCATCTCTCCATAATATAAGTAATTCATATGTTAATATTAATTTAACAGATAAACAATTAAATCTGTCATCCTTCAATCATTGGTTCAAAATAGGTTTCAGCCTTAGAAATAGACCTAATAATAATAATAATAATAAACCTAATAATCCAAGATAAAACACCACCCTCTCATTGAAGCTAGGTTATGGCCAGGTTTTCCCATGCCAAGAGCTTTTCAATAGGGCTTTTTTTATCAGATGAACTTATGAATTATCTGTTGTGATGTTTTAAAAACCTTTTCCAGCCGCAGTGACACATACTGATAAACAGTGCATCCAACTCAGTATGGACTGCAGTACAGAAACAGTGCACATGTTCACACTCAGCTTGAATGTTAAGCACACAAACTCTAAGCACAGCCAGACACTTTTCCTTAGTTTTCACCTCCCATTCCAGACGGCACTGTGCCTTTCTTTATCACAGCAGCTGAAACGGGGAGATTAGATTATTCTCTTTCTCATTCCTCTAAGCTTGTTACCATGGTGATACCACGGTGACTGAGGAAGGTCCTCACCCGGATATGGCTGTGCAGCTGACTGCCGTCACCTCAGGAACGTGAGGTCATTAATTTGGCTTCAGTAAATGCTGCAGAGTATTTTAGAACAGTTTAAGGCACGACTTAACAACCATTTTTATGTGAAAGATCAAATGTGGTCGACCGCAGCTGCAAAGACCAAATAAATACACAACGAAAACCCAAAGCACACAAGCCAACTCCCTTAAAGACTGCTTCTTGTGTCTGTGTTGTCTGTATTGATTATAGAAAATCTACCAAAATTAAATACATAATGGATTCTTGAAGGAGAGCCCACAGAATACACAGTAAATTGATTACATTTGGAAGTAATTAGAAATAATGAAGTGCTGCTGGAGCCGTACTGCTGCAGTTTTGACAGCTGAAGTGATACAGCGATTAATCACTGAATAAAATCGGGTGTTTGAAGATGTTTGCTTCTTGAATTAAAAGCAAGAAGCAATAAATAAATAAATAAATACAATAAAATAAAACAACAATAGAAATAAAAAGGTACAAAAAATGTTAGTAGTTTCGTCATCATCTACTCACCCGCATGCCATATATTTTTTTCATGGATCCCAAAAGGAGAAAACTAGCGCTAAGTAAATTAACTTAATTAGATCTAATGAGACTATTCTCAGGTGCTTTCTCTAGTCCTTTTCCAAGACTGTCTTTAAACATTAGGACTGCAATTAAATTAAATTAAACAACAACAAAAACACCATTTAATGTTTTAAACAAGGGGTCAATGTTTGGCTGGTTAGCATGACCACATTAGTCCCTGCTACCGTAACGACACCATCTGACTCCAAACAACATCTTTTTCCATAGGTCATGGTAGCGGCATATTTCATTTTTGTCAGGAATGAAAACATGGCTGTGAGGCATAGAGGTACAGTAAGTTCAATGGATTGTACTACAACATACTGACTGTTCAGCCGACAAAAGGTATTACAGGGGGAAAAAAAAAACCTTACATTAAAAAACTCCAATAAACAGCTTTGAGAGTTGTGAGTTATGAAAATTACATGATCTACAACCTTTATACAGTGCATGCCATGCCATTGTCACAGCCACTTTTGTATCCATGTTAAATTCAATATGGTGTCTAACCTATTTAAGGTCTATTAATGACCATTCAAAATTATCTGTGTATTAATGATACACAATTTTTTATTTTTGCATGCAAATATTTAGAATATACTATAATGCATCTTTTATTAGTGCTTGATTCGTTTTTTGAAGGTACATCCATATAGGACTACCTGGGAATCATTATACATAAAATAACTTTGTGACTAAATTTCATTAGAATTAGAATTAGAAGTAATGTCAACTCTTATGAAACTTTTAATAATCGGAAAAAGCTAATCTCTTAGCATCAAGTGTCCAGCAGCCTGCATGCCCAGTAGGCAACCCATATGATTTATCTGCAGCCATTGGAATACATTTGATTTTTATCGCACTGATAGTGCTGTGCTTACCTAAACGCCATTCTTTTTCACTCTCTTTCTGTTCCATCCATAAATTGCAATCATTTCTCCCTTCCCTTACCCAGCCTTTATCGCCCTCATCTTTCTCTTCCTCCTCTTTACTTTTGACTGGAAGAGCGAAAGATTAAAATCAAAGAAGAGTGACACATTTTAAGCGATGCAAATATACAGCTCGAGCCGCAGACTGTTCTATTGTCAGTCAGACATTGCACTTTGGGGGGGGAAGAGTGTCATAATTCTGTTTCTCTGAACAATATGTGAGTGGGTGTAATTGAATCTCAGTTTCAGTGGGCGGCTTGTGGAGGAGAGCAGATGACTGCTGACAGGCTCGGAAGTGAGTGTGTGTTTATGAGCATCATCTGTGGGGAAGTGTAAACAAGTGCAGAGTGATTTAATGAGAAGTATGCACACAAATTCAGGTGTCAAAAAAGGTCTGCCTTACCTTCATCTCCTGATCCTGAACCAGCATCTGTAAAACACAAAAAGAAGGACATTACATCCATGTCTTCTTCCAAGTCTTAATTTCTATCATTTTAGTGAATTCAATAAGGGTCAAACAATATTTGATCATTATTGCAGGTTTTAAGGCTTTATATTAATTGGAAGTTTACATGTAACATTTGTAATTGTAAAATTATCTGTCACACTTCAACAATATTTAAATGAACGGCTAAATGTTGAAATACAGTAATTGTATCATGTGAGAATAATATCCTGATATTGTCTATAATTTAATATAATTTATATTTTTATAACTGAATATATAAATGATTTTTTACTTTTTTTTCTTTTCTTTTTTTAAAGTTCATGTCTATGTCATTTATTTGTCAACTTCCCAGATCAATTAAAAAAAATAACTGAATGAAAGTAATTTTTAAGAATGTACAAGGGATGGACTGGCCATCCATCCAACGTGTTTTCCTGCCTACGTCTTGAGATACTGGGATGGGCTAAAGCAGCCCTATAACACTATAGGACAAGCAATTTGGAAAATAGATGGATGAATGGATAAATCATGTACATTTCTGCTCATATGGGTCTCTGGCGTTTGGGCATACTATCCCAATTTACAGTACAGATATGGTCTTATTAACTTAAATTGTGGGATGATCAAAGGTGAATATGCAGCCTTTGATCATCATTTCTGCCATATGTACATTAACTGACAGTCACCACTGATAAGCTACCACTAAATATTGTAGAAACTTAATTTGCTGTAAAGTTGCTTTGCAATGATTTGTATCGTGAAAAGCGCTGTACAAATAAAATTGAATTGAATTGAATTGAATATGTGACCCATTTGGCTCATGTAGGCAGAAGTGGGCTGCACAAATGATGCAAGAGGGAGATACTATAAATGCACACTTTGATTCATTGCAGTCTGATTTAGAATAAGTGTTTCAAATAAAACATAGAAACTATAACCTTCTGTACACCCTTTGTGCATAAGAACAGAAGAGTCCAGTGCTTCATGGTGTTGCTGTCACAATATTTGTTTAAACATGACTCTAAAATCAAGTATAGTCAAGTATCATAATGTAACGAATGCCCTTTTACTGGATATGAAGGTATAAAAAGACACTCAAGTGAAAATGAGGAAAGGATAGCAAGATAAAACCATGCATATGTATTTTCATACAAACATACACTACTATTTACATGTGTAATTCTGTGTGTTAGATCAAGCATACAAAGCAAGAACTTTTTAGCATCCTTAAAGAAAATAAAATGATCTATTCTTCCTTCAGATTAAAAAACAACAACAACAACAACATATTTTAATAATATTTTGACATTGGATGCCCATTTTCCACAAGTTGGTATGATTCTTTAGGGTCTTCATGAAATGTCTGCAACATACTTTGATTAAAATTCCTAAATAGTCATGTAAAACAACACCCTTTTGACCTTGTCAAAATCAGCTCTGTTTACAGCGACCCGTTTCAGTGCATGTCTCTTGAAATGATAATGAGCTACTGCTCAACCCGCTTCTCTCTTCCATTTTTTTTGTGTATGCGGTGGCACGTTATCCACTGCATCCTCAGTGGCTCTGATGTTGGGAGAAAATGAGGACTCTTATGTTTATTTTTACATCCAGCTACAAATCTGCATTACCTTTTGAGACATGTCGCTATAGCTGCTTGAGGAAAAAATGGATGACAGTACTGACAGAACTGACTGAGGGCAGGAATATGTTAATACGGGACAGTCTGTTAGCAGTTGTGGGCGGGGCCTGAGCAGTATGACATCATACTGCTCAGAAAATCAAAATGGTTTGAATGGGATGAATGGATTTTTATCATTGTGGGGTGGTTGTGTCCACACACTGCTAAGACACATTTATATGCAAACACCATTACATTACACCATTACATTACAAGATTCCTAAATACATCTGTACATCAATTTTCATCTCAACAAGCTATAAACACCATGTGCCCAGTGGTAAATAAGTTTTTTTTGTTTTTTACTTATGAAACCACACACACACACACACACACACACAAGTTCAGACTCGTTTATTTTTCTAATTGCCTGACAGTTACATTCTTGATTCAGAGACATGTCACACTCAATCTGTCTTTGACCATCTGAGCGATGCTCTCTGGCCATCTGGACATGAAACACTCAGTTATGGCTTTAATGCAAAGAATATGTCTAAATCTGTCAAAATACTTTCACCTGTTTATCTGATATGCTTTCACAACAACATCACCTGCATATATGCATACAATTATAAAACATGACTAATATTTACTCTGTAAAGCCTGTCATATGCTGTAAATAACGGTCAGAAAACCAAATGTGTACATTCATTATTATGAGCAATAATATGGTAGAAAGAACATTATTAAAAGTGAACTGATTTTCACTTTAACAATTCAATGACAGAACAAGCTGCAAATAAAAAAAATACATATACCAATTCCCACCCTAAATATATCTTAGTAAAATTCATTTAGATTAATGATTTAATGATTTTTATTTGTGATCGGCATCATGAAATTTTTAAAATAAATTACATTGCTTTAATTGGCATATTATTATTGGTATTTCAAAATGAATATTTAAAGTTAATCTTGCCATTGCTTTAACAATATTCAACAATTTCTCAGCCAACAGGTATATATGTGCATTGTGCAACACAGGCAGACATTTTGGAAATGATATTAAAAGTCCTTCTATTTCCTGAAGAGCATGGATAATCCACAAAGGGGCAGACGACATGTAGTTGATTGTATTAATTTATTTTTCATTGCAAAAGTAAGCTATTTCCTGTGGATGTGGAAACTCCAGATTAATTAGCTGCTATAAGTAAATAACGTGAAGAATAACAATGTGCAGTAAATAGTAAACTATCTGAGCTACAATCAAGTGTTTTTAAACTTACAACAATAAATTAGAAAAACATGAATACAAATACAAGTTTGCTATTGGCTGACACCGGAAGCCTTGCACATTTATAAATGGCTCTTATGTAAAAAATAAGGTACAAAAGGTTTTTCAGGTATCGATCATGTTAATCATGTAAAGTCATTGGAAAACGATGCTTTAAATATGATATATACAACTTTATAAGATTAAACAGATAACTAGTCTACATTCAACAACTATCCATCCTTGTATTCACTAACTTTCCATCCTTGTATTCATCATTCCTTATAAAAACTGAGGACCTTAAAAGGCAAAAACTACACAATGAACCAATGAACCAGTCCTGAAGCACTGGATCAAAAAAAGTGGAAAACCTTTCACAACCTCAAAAATTCATGAAGTTCCCTAGTACATCAAAAAGACTATTTCACAGTGAGGCTGGAAGAGTAAAGCGAGACGAACAGTCTGTTTCTCGGCACACTTCTTCCTGTGAGACTGGACTCTGCTGAGTTTGCTGGCACGAAACAATGGCAAGAGTCTTATTAAGTGTAAGAGATCTTTGTTCCTCATTCAGAGGTATCAGCGGGTTACGCATCTCCTCTGCCTTTATCATTTATCAGGAAGAATGTGTTATGAGGTGACTTTGCACTTTTTTTATCTGGGCTCCCACGATGCAATGGGTTGAGTGAACTTGAGCATCGAGGCTCAGAGGTAGATGTTCTCTGTCAGCAGAGACAAACGCAGCTGTAATTTAACATGCCACGGCCGCTGTTACAACACACAATTAACTATTTCAAGTAGTGCTGGGCAGTATACCGGTTCATACCGAATACCGGTTTTTATTTTTGTTATGATATGAATTTTGAAAATACCGCAATACCGGTATATGTCACGTAAACAACGTTCGGAACGCGACACTGTTTGAAAGGGGTGTTGCACTGTGGTGAGGGAACAGAATATTCACTCATCGTGACAGTAAAATAGGGCATTCTAAGCAAATATACTGCAGTATTTCCTCTCAATCAGTAGAAAATATGGTTAACACCCGGACATGCATGAAAAAAAATACCGTCTTGTACCGTGAAACCGGTATAATTTTGAAAAATACCGTGATATAAATTTTTGGTCATACCGCCCAGCACTAATTTCAAGAACATCGTGCTTGACCGACATGTGTGCGTCAGGTAACATATCAGTACTTAATGATAAAACAGGCCTGTTGAGCTGTTTATGTGAATGTTTTGAGAATGTAATAGTGTAGGATATCAGACCGAATCAGACGATCTATGATTTGGTTAAAACATGGTTGAAACCTGAGGAGCCCAAAATTCCACAAGAGGCCCAAGACAACAGTGAAAAGAGAAGTATCTTGTGTTTTGTGCTCACAAGTTAATGTCTTAAACTGCCGATCTTGTTACTGTGCTAATTAATAGTGTTTTCACTATATTTTGGATATAAATATCCATTGCAGAATTGATGTCATACGGCTCGTTCAATGACTCGCTGGCCATCTCAGTGATCAGCCGTAAAACAGTGATTCTGTCCAAATTCCCTTACATATTGGTGGAGTTCCCTTTAAAATCTTAAATGATTCCCTTTGAGCTAAATTGACCTGTTTCCCTTACAATAGTAATTTCTTGGAATATGATGCATACTCCCTGCATGGAGAAAGCTACTTTAGCACTACATGGAGTGTGATTACGCAGAAAGGCTATCTTAACCTCGATTTCCAATGTTGAAAATGAACTGCCTTCTCCTCTCTACAGTTACGCACCACTAAGCTAATGGCCTGCTGCCCTGCGCCGCACTGAAAACTCAATATAAGCACATGACCCGTCTCCTTAATCAGCACATTATTCACACTGATCTTACAGCAGCACAGCGGTGAACTTGCCACCGTTTGCGAGGTAAATAGCCCATTTATCAATGCCAGAAAAAAAGAGAGAAGCATATACTCACCTCTGCAATACTTCTTAATATTTGGCACATAAGACCCTTCTGAAAGTTTCAACGAAGCACAGCAAGGACTTCATTTTGGGAAAGTAAGCTACAGTCAAATATCAGTACCCAAGTGTGATGGAGGAGAGGTTTGACACAGTAAAGGATGGTGAAATTACTTTGTGGGACAAGGGAATAACATGATTTCACCAACCAGTATTGGAAGTGACCGTTGGTAAATGGGATTATAGCTAAATTTAGTAACTATGCCAGTAACTCATGGACTTTAAACAGTACCATTACTGCTGACTCTAGACTAGAAGTGAAGAATTGTATTTGACAAACGCAATGGCACTTTCAACATGCAGAATGGGATTCAGCACCTTGGAGAGCACCAAACACAGGCCCAAATCTGAAGCCTTGTGCAAATAAACACAATACAATACAATAAAATAAATAAATAAATCTGCCCAACAGATTTTCGATAAACTCTCGCTCCAATCCAATCAGTTGATCGAAAGTGACAGTAAAGACATTTACAATCTTACAAAAATATTTTTAGAAATATTGCTGAAAATTCAGCTTTGCCATTTGAGCAATAAATTATGTGTTAAAATATATTAAAATATAATACAGTTAGTTACTGTAAATTTAAATAATATTTCAAAATATTACTATTTTTACTGTATTTTTGATCATATAAATGCAGCCTTGGTAAGAGACTTTTTTCAAAAACATAAAAAAATCTTACTGGCCCCAAACTGTTGAATGCTTGTTGCATACACCTCCGCATAGTACTGTAATTATTAAGCAATTGCAGGCTGACTTGTACACATCAATTTTTATAGTGTAAATTTTGTCACAGATGTTTACATGCTAAGGGCGTTTCTTACAGGCATAGCAGCATTTAATTCTAAAAGCCAGACAAAGGTTGGGAAATATCTATGAAAAAGAGCCAGACAAAGGGTGGGAAATATATGAAAACCTAAAATATGACAAACTATAAAAATGTAATATGATGTGATATGACGCCTTTAATACTGTAATACTGTGTAAACTTACAGATTAAGGGGCGGTAATATTATAATGAGATCCCTTTGCCACGTCACCAAGGGAGCGAAATCAGACACGCTCGTTTTCTCAGACGCTTGCAGAAAAAGGCTTCCCAAAACAAAGTTACTGGGTTAATCTTTTTCACGTTTCCTTGGTTGGTAGATGCACCGGGGACCTGATTATAGCACTTAAAACCTGGAAAAGTCAGATTTTCATGATATGTCACCTTTAAGCAGCACAACTGTATTCAACATGGATAATAAGAAATGTTTCTCAGCATATTAGAATGATTTGTGGAGCTTCATATGACAGTAAAGACCGAGTAACAGCTGCTGAAATTTCAGCTTTGCCATAAAAAAAAAATAAAACATTTGTGATATCACAAATATCGACGAATGGGACGAGACCTGGTTGAGCTGCACTAAAGAAGGCAACGAGTGTTATCACTATGTCGGAGACGCGCTATTTTTCACAAGGCAGACGAACTTAGAGTGGTTACAATCATCCGGGTTTAAATCACGCTCAAATTGATTTGATTTTGATGCAATATTTACACTGAAGCTGTCAGTGGTAAGGGGCATGTCATTTCCCGACCAGGCGCCAAGTGCTGCCAATCACAACACACACTGGCCCAGCTAACCAATCACAACACATTTCGTATTTCAGAAGGCGGTCCTTCATTTGATACAGGAACTATTCGAGCCGTTCATGCCAGACTGGGGAGAGAGGTGTTGTAATAATGTAAAATATGTGAAAAATAATGTGTTTTTCGAACAACCTAGTATGAGAGCCTGTTCTAGTACACCCCCAAAACAAAATCAAGACTTTGTAAAAGAGCATAATAGGACCCCTTTAAATTTTTATAAAGTATACAACATTACTTTTTATTGAAATAAATGCAGCCTTGCTGAACATAAGAGAGATAGACAGACAGACAGACAGACAGATAGATAGATAGATAGATGATAGAGCGAAATAAAAGCAAAAGATGACAGGAAAGCCTTCAGACAGACAGAGCCAAACAGAGAGATGATGAGAGATGATTCAGTGGCGCCTTTTAAGCTTCACAGAGACAAAGACAAACTCTCTTCTTGTTTTCTGAAGCTTGTTTCAGTAAATTAACTTTTACCTTCCAGAACACCTACAGACAAGTACATGCTCATACACATTCAGGCTTGAGAACCAATATCCCGCTAGGACTGAATTATGACTCTACCTACAGACACACACGGCATGAGGAGAACATTTTATTCTCTGGATGCTCCATAAGCACAAATTCTCGCCTCCCACACTCTCTCTCTCCCTAGAGATCATTTTTTAGAGGTTTCAGTGTGTTTAGGCACTGTTTAATGGAGTCTGACTCAGCAACTCCCAGAGCACCAAACACCTGCTTTAGCCTCCGCAATACACCATCTTACTGACCACAGAACACACTTTTGCTCGTATCATTTGGTCTTTGATTGGCCATAAACATGCAATGCGTATTCCTTTAATATAAGAGGAAAAAGGGGAATATTTTTCTGAAATCATATACAACAACAATCCAGTCTTGTGGAACAGCCTTTGTGGCATAAAAAGCTCTGAATGCAGGGTTTAAAACACAGCAAAAGCTTTACACAAAGCAATAATACATGGTTCTAGCCTGTTAGAGGTATTATGGGTATTGTCTGACTATAGCACAGTATAACATGTTTAACACAAGCACAGCTATGAGAGTCCCTGTCTGATTCAGACCTCAGGGATGAGTAAATTGCAGTCTTGCTCAGTACTCACAGTTACACATTTTATGGGCAAATGATTAGGCTGTGGATTAACCTTCAAGAGACATATGCACCAAACACGACTGAACGTACCGGCTGGGCAGGATCCTTCAGAGACCACCAGGATCTCGGTCTGCTGTTTGCAGGCGTCTCTCCGCAGAAAACACTCGTTTTCATAGTTTTCGTTGTTGGAGCCGCACACAGGAACATAATCATTGTTGCACTGAAAAAAGGAGAGATTTTAAGCATTAAAAATTTTGAGAAAAATGAGATGTGGAAACATGGGACTAAAATTGAAGTCAAAGATTACTAGCATTATAGCACAACTATAGTACAACTCTCTGATTGTGTTATTTGCAGAATTTAAATATAAGGGCAAAAAAGTAATTATAATTAACATTGAAATACACTGTATATTAATATTACTACAGTAGTTTTCAGGAAAAACTACAATAAAATAAAATGTTTACATAAACTACATGTTGTAAGAATAAGAATCTGAAACTGACTGTGACGAGAGGGGCGGGGCCGAGAGCTGTGGGAACGGAGCGAGCACAAACGAAACCAAAACACAAAATAAACTCCAGGCCTGGTCCTCTCTCCTCCAACACTGTCGTCACTCCTCCTTTATCCTTCTGGAGCTCCTCCGTGAGACTCGAGACGGGTGAGTGGCGCAGGTATCGTGCATTAGCATTTACTCCACCGGCCTCACTCCGTTCCCACGGCTCTCGGCCCCGCCCCTCTCGTCACACTGACCTATATATCTCTAATAGCCTAATTGTGATGTTTTAGCAGCGCTATATTTTGAGGTTGTTAGATAAGCTCACAGCAGAGAATAAGAATTGCGTGATCTGAAAGTGAATAAAGCTACTGTGAGCTCCAAGGCCAAAATACAGACTGCCAACTACACTGCCCACGTTCCTGAACCAACTGATAAAAAGATGATTACAGTATAAGAAAATGCCAGGAAGGAATACATCACAAAATATTGTGAAACATTTGCAAGTTTCAGGTTGGTTTCAGGTTGTTTGGTTATAACTGGTTATACTTTTTTTTAAATGAAATTTAGGTTTGAAGATTTGATCATAATCTCTGCACAAAGCAAGAATGTTTAAAAAAAATGTCTTTAAAAAAATGGAAATATAAAAAAATCAATTGACTTTAACATTTATCTAAGGGAAAAAAACCCAGAAAAAAATAAAATAAATAAATAATAAACAATAGTGGTCATAACAAAATTAATTATCTTATTATCTAGATTTAGTTTATTACATTTCTGTCAGACATAGTTTTAATATTTGTGCATCCCCAGATTTATGACAAGCAAAACAATTCACAGAGAAAGACAAAAATCAAATATTCAATTCAAATATTCCAGTGAATCTCTTGAAAACCTGCTAAAGTTTGACTTCATGAGAAGCAGGTAGTTTAAACTCACTAGTTGGCCTGGTGGAAAATGAAGCTGTTCCAAACCTCACGCAGGTATTTTGGAAGAGTCTGACCACACCGCACACACATATGGACCTGAACATACAGAGACACACTGCGTCTGGTCCAGCAGGCATGGTCTGTCTGGCTCCCTGGGAGGTGGGTACAGTGCAGGGCTGCAGTGGTCTGTCAGCTCACATGTTGGCTGAGGAACTGTGTGGCTGGTGGCCAGCTGGTTGGCAGGGGTCACAGGAATAACTGTGCCCATCGATTCTGGAGCGGGATTTGTACTCGCTGTTTTATCGGCTGAGAAGCAATATTATGCAGGATGAGAAAGCTCTAAGCCAACACTGGCAAGAGATTCAGAGAGAGGGGGTGAAATAGGAGGAAAAAAGGAAAACTAGGTCTACAATATATGAATATACCGGATGTATAGAATACAGCAAAAAGGAAAAAGACAGACATGAATGGATTTTTTTTTAAATGAATAGAATTTAGGGTGATGTACAAAAATAAAACTATAAAAAAATTAACTATTAATCATATCATCTGGTAAGAAAATATATTATTACAAAACTGTCAAAAGAGAAAATCAAGTTTGCAGTCAGTACAACTTCAAGATGCTACTACAGGCATTCAAAAGCAAGACTGAGAGTGTACTATTCCCAAAGTATTCCAATAGACAAGTTAATATTTAGTAGCAATGTGTCTGCACTCTGCGTGGCCATGCCTGCATTTCGTTGTGCTGTAATAGCTTGAGGGGCCATGTGTTTTTGTGTTTAAAATGAGAGAGGCACGGTAGTGGAATGAAAACAACGCAAAGTCTATAGATGTATTTTATTTTTTTAAATATGAAACTTCTTTTAACTTGAGTGTTGCATTTTTAGAATGCTGTGAAATGCACAAGATGCTGCAAAAGACATAAAACATGAAGGCAACAATCAAACACGTCTGTGTCTAGCGCATGAATACATAAAAAAAAAATTAAAAAAAATTTAAAAGCAGCAAAGTGGATTGCAAAAGGCTGTCTACACTGGACATTATGTCAAACACCTCCGAACTTGGATGCGTCAAAAGCCAACAGAACCAGCAGAACTCTTATGTGGCACGATGTGACAATTCATTGAAACTAAACGGATGACCCATTATATTTCTCCTGTACTCCGCATGCTTCACTTGTATCCTGTGCAGACATGGTTTTACATTTTGACACAATATTGCCTCTTATTACATGGCTACTTTAGTAGGTCAAGGAAAAATAGACAAACGAAGCCAAAGCAAAAACAACTATTGTGTCACTGAGAAACACACAGTATTTAGTTCCTGAATGAATCAGCATTTTTGAATGAATCAGTTGAATAAATAATTCAGTGAGTCTTTGTTTTGTTGCTGAAGAAATTAGCATTTTGAACAAATTAATTTAATGAATGATTCAATAACTCGCTCAAAGACCTGTCACAACCTACTGGTGTACCGTTGTAACTTGCAGAAAGAGAAAAATACCCACCACTAATGCACAGACTGACAGCCTGTGTAGAAGAAACACAGAGAAGTGGAGTGATACAAACAGTGCTGTTGGATTCAAGGAAATTTAATGACTCTAATTAACTACTATATAATGTTATATATGAACTGATGGACAGATTGATATGAATATCTGGGTTGATAACCGAAATGTTTGAACATTGGACCAATCTATGATTTTATGCCCTTGAGCAATGAGTTTGTGTTTTTTCCCCCAAAAAATCCCTCATTCAACCAAGGTCGAATGCGATTTGAGTTCTCTTTGATAAAAATATTCCACTATTAGCGCACCTGAGATGGAGAGTGAAAGAAAAGACTGAGTGACAGTAAAACGCATCCGAGACACCAGAATAGAAAAACAGAGTGAAATCTCAGAAGAGCAAAGCACTGAGATGATCTCAAAATAAACACAAAAAGAATAAGAGGAGGAGGAGAGAGTGAAATGGATATTACCAGCTTTTAAACCTTTTCATTTTTTTGACATTTCTACAGCTTCAAGTGTTCAATCAATCATTTTGGCCTGGCATGATGCAATAGTGAGAAAGGCTGCCCAGTCCCAGGCAGCCCCCAGCATGCCCCGAGAAATGCCTGTTTTGCCGAGCCCCTGCAGTTTGGTCCTTTTAACTTTACCCCTTGAGGGGAAGGAGTGCATTAGAACTTCATCTTTGCTGAAAAATAACTGGTGATTATGATAGAAAGGTTAATTGAAATAAATTCAGGGCAACTAATGAGTGTCTGACACACTAACAATTAAAAGAGCAGACAGACACTTCAGCTATATATATATATAAAAAAAAACGCTTTTCACTTGCAGGTCTGAGGAGTGAGATTGAAGTAGCAGTACGATAAATGAAAGGACCTTGAAAAAGCTGAAAAGCATGAATGTAACTAATTACTTTCAAAAGACAGTAACTAGTAATATATAATGTATTACATTTTGGAAGTAACTTGCCCAACACTGCTGATAGATATGATACACATATATCTATTCCATTGCAGAAAAAGTTTGATCTTTTCACACTTAGCCGAGATAAAAAAGGCATTAAACAAACCTCCTTTTCCTGTTCACAGACAGCTGAATTACTCAAACAACATCACATTCTCAGATTGTCGCATATGTGCTCTTGCATTTAAAAAGCTATAGAGCTCAAATATGGACTAAAAATTATTTTTCATCTTGCACTACACAGATTTTTGTCCAATCAGAAGATCTCTAGAATGAGAATGCCCCACCCCTTAGTTTTAAATAACACCTGCAACTAACTAGCAAATAGCAAATCATGGTTCACGGCTGTGATTTAACCATAAGATACTGGCTATCTGTCTGTCTCCTTCACAAGACATTAACTGATAGACTGGCGTTGTGTGAATTATTGTGTTGTTTTTATCAGCTGTTTGGACTCTCATTCTGATGGCACCCATTCACTGCAGAGGATCCATTGGTGAGCAAGTGATGTAATGCTAAATTTCTCTAAATCTGTTCTGATAAAGAAACAAAGAAATCTACATCTTATATGGCCTGAGGGTGAATACATTTTCAGCACATTTTCATTTTTGGGTGAAGTATTCCTTAAACTATTTCCTGACACCTTACATTCAGTGGCGGCTGGTCAATAGGGGGCGCTGAGGCGCCGCCCCCTCCAAGTTAGCCAGGGAAGAAGCCTACTTCAACATGTTAAAAATAAGTTAAATATATATTGCAAAATAATCAAGAAATTGCATTATTTAGTCATACTATTTGACTGGTAGTCATGTTAGCACCTATTAAAAAACAAAAAAATCTAAACTCTTTTTCGTTTGTTGTGTGTGTGCGGGGCACCGGACAAATGGGTGTCTATTAGGTCTGTAAACTTTTGAAACGCATGTGACTTGAGGCTGAGCTCTAATTGGCTTGTTTCAGATTGTCCTTGCGCCCCAGACCCTCCCACTTTTGATTTTAGTGAATCAGTATTGTTTTTATATATTTTGGCCTCATGTGATTGGATATCTCTTCCGAGATGAAAGTAAATTCGATTTTATTTTTTACAAAAAATCCTTTCACAAGATATTCAAATGAAGAAAATAAATAAATAAATATATAAATACGGATCATGGAGCTTGGGCGGAGTTGGCTAGCTGGGTGCGATGTAGGTCATGCCTTTTATTGTTTTCCCTGTTTGTTATTTCAAAGTTCAGTCACCGAAGCATTGTGGACAACGACACAATGCAGTTTAACTTGAGGCGATCATTGCGGTCCAAGCACAATGGCTTGTGTAGATTTTATAGTTATCCAATGGACATGTCTCTTTTCAAGTAAAATATGAGTCTTTATGGAAGTATTATTGTATGCACAATATTAAAATAGATAAATAATACAGTGTCCCTTCTTCAATTGGACATACATTTAGTCATGTCTGACAACTTGACAAATATGTTGTCAATACCATTAAAATTAAGATAAAAAAGGTCTATAAGTATTTAGGAAATTGCAGTTTTTGCATACTTATTACATTGGGCTTTATTCAACTTTATGAAACTATAATGAATTTATATGCAATTTTTTACTAAAAGTCAATTTATTGAACAATTTTCACAGTCTTTAAACTGAGATCTTAAAGAATTTGATATCTTGTGGCTCCCTCCTTTGGACAACACTAGTATTATGGCCTTCATCTTTGAATCACATTAATATAAATGGCTGATATTTTTATTTTTCATTTTTTTGAATGATTACACGTTTAATGATTACTTTACTGATAATACACCCACATTAAACTCAGATTCACTGATTCGTGGTATCTTATTTCATGCTTTAAAAGTTGAATTTTCAACTTCCATTGTAGCTAAGCAGTAATGATACATTATTATGTCACTTTTTAAATGGTTATTTAACAATTGCATTCAGTTCTGCTGCCTGCAATAACAGTGTGATTCTGTTTGTTCGCCACCTTGTAGCCTCTTACAAGGTGAAGAGTAACAAATTCTCAACTAAAGCAAAACATAGATTGATCATTACAAATCAAATATGTTGGTAGATGGTAGTGCCACAGTACTAAGACAAAGTGAGGGAGAAAAGGAAACAATAAGAGAGGGACAGGCATAGGGAGGAGTAGAAAGACCAGAGATAAAGAACTTGTAAGAGATGGCCATAAGGCTGGACAGCATGTGTTCGAAAATAATCTAATGCAATGAGCCTCCCAACAGAGGCCAGACACACAAACACTCAGGGTGGAAGTCAACAAATTTCTTCATCCAATAAATAAAATGACACACTACACATTTTGGCTCTTAAGTACCTTTAAGTCAAATCAGTTCACTCAGCGGGCATCTCACAAACACCATATTAGCTATTTTCTATGTAGATAACAGTAATCTTCCATGTCATAACTGTACTTCCTGTACTAAGTATGTTAAATGTAAATCATTTACA